AGAAGAAGTAGGGAAAGGAAAGAAGAACGCATAAAATAGCGTAGCGCCGGCGGAGGAACCCTAAACTTTGACACTGTTACTGTTACTGTTACACTGCCATGGCCGAAGGTTCCGTAACGCTCGGGGCCAAGGCCTCTTCGCTCTCTTCCTCCTCCGTCTTCGCCGTCGCCACGTCCCGCGCTCAAGTGCGTATCGACTCCACCGCGCTCGATAGGCTCTCCTCGTCCAAGACCACTCCAACCACTTCCTTCAACCACCGCATCACCGTCCCCGATTTCCTAACCCTATGCGAATCCCGCGCCTTCCTCCTCGTCCTCCTCAACAACCTCCTCCTCGCCAATGCCCCCTCCCGCATTCCCCTCCTCATTTCCCAAGCCCTAAATCCAAACCCTCACGCATTCCAATTCGACGACGCAGACGTCACCGAGCACGAACTCCCAGCGCTCCACGCCGCCACGCGTTCCACGCTGCTCGCCGTCTCCGCCATTATCGACCACCACTCCGCCGCGCTCTCCGCCTTCGCAGACGTCGCCGCCGCGTTCTCGTGCGAGGCGCTCAAGGCCGACGTGACGCCTTTCAATTTGATGGATTCCGGCGACGGACACGCCTCCAAGGAGGAGGGCGCCGTCGCCGCTGACCTGAGGGTTCTCCTCAATGGATACAAGTTGGTTGGCAAGAACAAGGTTCCCTCCGTTGCGAGGGTTCCCAAGGTTCACGGGAGTGTGAGGGAGTATGCTAAAGCTGTGCACTCGAGGATGCGTGTTGAGCTGAATTCGGGGGTTAAGAGTGCTGTTGGGAGTGAGGAGGCTGTGGGCACTGTGCTACTGCCGTTGGCGGCGGCGCTGCGTGAACTCGGGGAGGGTAGTTTCGCGCGTGTGAAGCGTAATTTGGAGAGTATTGGTGGTGATGTATTGAAATCCGGCATTGGGGAAGTGTTTCGAAAAGAGTTTCCCTCTGAGGATGGTTTGAGCAGTGGTTTTAATAAGGCTGTGAACTTGTTTCTGGGAAAGGAGTATGATAAGTTTGCACACGAGGTCTTTGTGCTGCTTAGACTTGTGTGGAAAGTTGTGGCATGGGAAGCTGTGACTGCGGTTGCGGTTCTTGATGCTGCTGAGTTGAATGAGGGGATTCAAGGTGTTAAGGAAAATGGAGAGAAACCGAAAGTAGAGGATAAGAAGAAGAGGAAAGTTGTTTTGGGGAAAGGGACTAGTTCGATATTGGCCTTGTTCAAGGAGAGGTTACAGAGTGGAGGAAAGATAGATTTGCGGACTTGGGTGGCTGATTTTGTATCATTTTTGGATGTGGCTCAACCTGAGTTTAGCGAGTTTTTATTGAAAGTAAAGGATGTTGTAGAGAGCAATGAAAGCAGGAGATTACCCAAGATTCCCAAGGTATTTCTCTCATGTTTTGTTTACTTGTATGATTAACTGTGTTTTTTAGGTGTTATAGTCTGCTTGATTTTTCCATTCTTTTGTGGGTGAAGAGAAATTACATATGAACTTTTCGTTTGGTTTGGGCATTGCTGATATTGTGAGGATTAAGGATTAAATTACACCACTCATTGAAATAGCTGGTTATTCTATCAGTTAGGAAGTGACATCCTTAGTTAGTATCAAGGACTGACCTATGAATTCAGTTGATTGAGTATATGCCAAGTAATTTACTAACTGTCGTGTTGACATTTTGTTATTGAATAATTGAAATGTAATTCAAAATGTGCACTCATTGACAATTTTCAAAGGAATGGTTAACTTGTATCTGAAGAGGCAGAGGAAAATGGAAGAAATATGCATGATATTCTTTTGTTTGCTAGTGGGCATTTTAATAATAGAATAACCAATTAGAAATTTTACTCTGGCTTGGTCAGGTAATGGAAGTGGGTGTAATTGTTTTTTTTGGTGTAAGCTTACAAGAAAAAGAGGAATGGAAATGTTCAAGGCGTAGCTTTGAATTTGAATCACACATAGCCCAGTTTTTTTTAGTTTGTTCGCAGAATTAATATTCATTTTTTTGTATGTCAGTTGATGGTGTTGTCTATAGATAATGGAATTGTTTAATATTTGCTTCTGTTCCTGGATGGGATGTGTTTGTTGGTAGTCTTACCTTTCTGTCTGTTCAGGGGACTCGTGATTTTGCTAAAGAACAAATGACAATCAGAAAGAAAGCTTTTTCAATAATTGAAGAAGTTTTTGAGAGGCATGGCGCCACTGCCTTAGATACTCCTGTTTTTGAATTGCGTGAAACTCTCATGGGAAAATATGGAGAAGATTCAAAGTTGATTTATGATCTTGCTGACCAGGTAAATGTGTATTGCTTATTCGTTTATTGACAGTTGAGTTGATGTCATGACAACCTTTTTCTTTTCTCCAGGTAAAATAGAATAAACTTACAACGTTCAAATTTCTGAGAAAAGTGGATAATTTTTCATCTAAATTTTTCTAGCTTCTATTTCTGATGCTGAATCCCCAGACTTCTGTTTCTAATGACAGTTGATGGGATTCTACGTCAGATTGATTCCCTTCCCTCCCTGTTTAAATTCATAGAGAGAGAGAGAGTTGAATTTTAACTTCATTCTAATTTGTAATCACAACTTGTTTGACAGGGTGGCGAGCTTCTTTCTTTGAGGTATGACTTGACAGTTCCATTTGCTAGGTTTGTCGCTATGAATGGTCTAGCATCTTTCAAAAGGTACCAAATAGCTAAGGTTTACAGACGGGACAACCCATCTAAGGGAAGATACCGTGAATTTTATCAATGTGACTTTGATATAGCTGGTACTCCTACTTCATATGAATATATGGGTCCAGACTTTGAGGTTGTCAGGATTTTGACTGAACTACTTGATGAGCTGAACATTGGGGAATATGAGGTAAATTTTTATAATATTTATTCTTTAAAAGTATCGGTTTTCTGAAACTGTAGAACTGTCTATTGAGTTCATAAATTTAAATTGGCATTGACCATCATATTTATCATTTCATGGGCTGTCAGTACTTATTTGGTGATTGGTTATCATTGTAACACATTAACCATGATTACTCCATGAAGTGAAATATGGTCAAAAATCAGAAAGTCCTTTAGTATTTGGGCTTATCTATTTTGGCTAGGATTTGTATATGTGCCAAGCCTCTGTTTCATTTTACACTTTGAATTGTGATTTTTAGCATCCTTGTTTACAGCATCAGGTCTTTGCTGTCTGCTGGTTGATGCATTGTTTGCAATACTCTTAATAAGTTTCAATAATTTTACACAACCGACCTAACTTGTGCTATAAGTCTTACCTTGTTATTGAGTCTTTATTGTGTAAACTATCAGATTAGCTGCTAACTGAAGTGAGCTTTGCCCTGCTGTTGTAAAATTCAGTCAACTTTACTCAACCCAGCTTATGTGCTATAATTTAATCTTCTAAAATCATTTGTTTGGACGTGGTTGGCAATTGACTGTGGTTTTCCTAATTAATGGTCAAAAATCATTTAAATCTTTGTTCAGATTGCAATACTAGTGTGTACATGTTTAACCTTTTTTCTTAATTTTTTTCTCAGATAAAGTTGAATCATAGAAAGTTATTGGATGGCATGATGGAAATATGTGGTGTACCTCCTGAGAAGTTTAGGACAATATGTTCAAGCATTGACAAGTTAGACAAACAGTCTTTTCAACAAATAAGAAAAGAAATGGTGAGGACATAGGCTACTTTTGTCTATTTCCATTATATTATTCTATTTACTGGATGATTAGGTAGTGTTATTGATCTTTTTTATGTTCCTTGTGTTGGACATTTCGAATGATGGAGGTTCTATTTTTTCCAATATTCGTTTTTAAAATACTTCATTTTGATGCCTTCATATTATGTTATGCTTGGTAATGTGCTTTATACTGTGATGCTGTAGGTGGAAGAAAAAGGATTAACTGCAGAGACAGCTGACAGAATTGAAACTTTTGTTAAAGAAAAAGGATCCCCTTTAGCATTATTATCTAAATTTAAACAGGAGAACAGTGATTTCTTAAAACATGATGGAGCTAAAGATGCATTGAATGACCTGGAAGTTTTATTTATTGCTCTGGAGAAGTCAAAACGCATTGATAAAGTGGTGTTTGACTTGAGTCTTGCCAGGGGTCTGGATTATTATACCGGAGTTATATTTGAAGCTGTTTTCAAAGGAGGCACTCAGGTATTTTTCATTTTCTCTCCATTCTAAAATGTTTCTTCTTTCATCCCTTTATTATCCCTTTATTTGAAGCTGTTTTAAAGGAGGAAGCTGTTTTTAACGGATGTTCAGTGTCTGTTGCGCAACACTAAATGCAACAAATTAAACCCATGTTGATTTGTTACTGCTTTTAAATGTGCATTCTAAACACACAATGAACTGATGAAATGAAAGATAAACAATTTTTATTTTTGTTTGTTAAACAAATGAAAAAGATCTCACACTTTTATGAAATAGGGTTTAAATTTAAAAGACAGTCGAATTATATGAAATGCCTTGTTAATTTTAATTTCTAAAATTTAAATCCAAGTTGTACTACCTCGGATCCTTTTTATTAGAAACAAGTGATAGTATGTATCTTATAAAAAGGACTGAAAGTAGTATCAGACAGTAGGAGGTTTAGATTTGTTAGGATGAGAAATTAACTTTAATATATAGAGTGAGTTTTGGAGTGAAATGTTATGAATGGTATCAGAGGACAATGATGATAAGGGCTTCGGAGGCAAGAGAATGGCTTATAATGTTAATTTCTTTGCTATATTTGGGTTCTGTGAAGACTAACTGCTGAGTTAGGAATTAGGGTTTGATGGTTTCTTGGTTGAATCCAAGCAAGACCACCTGACTAGGTTCTTGATGATTTGGTTTTTATGCTGTTTGACTTGGAATGTATAACTTCGCAGATCCAAAATTTATTGTGACTAGGTTCATCTTTTGCAGTACACGCTACTTTTGTTGGTTTTTATGTGGATGTCAAGTTTCAACACATTTTATTTTAGGGGCGATATTGATGATATCCAGAGAGTGCTTTTAAAATGATGGTCTTGTTTATATATTTTTCTATATATTTTGGTAATTTGCAACTCTAGGGGTATTTCTTACTTTAGTTTGTACTTCTTTCTCTTGTCAAAAAAGATAAAAAGAAAAAGTTGAGTAGATCGTGTTTAATCACATAATCAGGAACTGAGCAATGTTTCGGCAATAATTCTTTACACTATCCGTTATTCTTTTAAAAGTTGGGTTTGTCACTTACGTGGGAATGGGAAGTATGTTTGCTAGTCAAACATGGTGAACCTTGTTGTCTGGAACATGAGGTCGGTGTTAAATATCCAACTGTTGAAAATAAAGAATGCTCAGATGACTGGAACAGTTTAAGAAAATCTTATCAAGTTGAATTTTACAGCTTTCTGCATCTGTAAAATTTCAAAAATTCCTTTTCTTGTTCTTTTTTATTTGGCATATTTATTTGTAAGATATAATGCAAGGAGTTGTTTTTGGATGGAAGTAGCAATGGCATTGTAGTTCAACTCATGTTTTAATGTATAGAAAATTCAATCAATAAGTACCTATTTAATTTGAAATTGTAGGCCTTAAGAAATGTGAAAAAGTAAATTGAAATTATTTGATTCTTTGAAGTGGGATACCTCTCTGTAGTTTATGATGGTCATATTTGTGCATATACTCTGTTCTGTCTGTGTTTCATTTATGTTGTTTTTATTGAAATTTTCATCTTTTATTTAGGAATGGACATATGGTCTTTTTTCAGGTTGGTTCAATTGCTGCCGGTGGCCGTTATGATAACCTTATAGGTATGTTTGGTTCAAAGCCAGTGCCAGCAGTTGGTGTAAGTCTGGGAATTGAGAGAGTATTTGCCATAATGGAGCAACAACAGAAGGATCAGAACCAGGTGATCATAATGTTTGATAAGTGATTAGTAACTTTATTAGTTGCTAATGTTAAAATGAATAACTATTCATTATTATTCTGGGTATCAACTATTAAATCACATTCCAACACCAATTTTGCTACAAAGTTCCCTAAATTTTGTTTAGGGTTTACAATGGTTTTCAACTGTTGAGTATTCATGAAAAGGCCCAAAAAAACTAAATTATTTTTATTTGAATGAGCTAGGCAATTTTCCTGAATAAGTTGGATGGGGAAATTAGTGTAAAAATGACTTTACAGCTGCCCATGGTTCACTTCGTTGAATTCGGCTTCATCATTTTTTGATAATGAATCAAAACGACCAAATATATGCACCCAGGTAGTTTGCATCCTGCAACTAGGGATGACTGTGATTTAATCCAGTGTACCCAACTTTCTAACTGGAGTAATACACGTGCACTGGTGCACAGCATACATATGTGATACCCTATCGATGGATGCATTTCATAATAGTGGATAAATTATGTATCAAATAAAAGATTGTGTCAAATTTGATATACGTAAACAGAGTCACTGGCAGATGATTTTATGGAATGTGTTAAGTGGTATTTTAATTTTTCAGTGATATTGTGGTGTACATATACATTTCTTCATTCATCTACTGATAACCAATATTTTCTATTATGGTATAATTATGGTGACTTGATCTGCGTGATAATACTTACTGACAGACTTTTATCCATAACTAATATTGCCATTTTAGTGGAAACATGTTAATTTGCATCAGGTTGCTGCATTTAATAATGATAAAACGTATCTCCCAGTTGTCTCTTTTTGTTTCTAGTTTTCTCGTGAAGGTTATATTTTGTGTGCTCTTGTTAAGTCGTGAATGTCTGGGTTATTTCATGGCGAAGAAAGTTTGAACGTTGGCATTGTCTAGCGAGTATTTGCTTGATTCGTTTTCCTTTTCATCCTTTTCTTTTTAGTATGTATTAATTTTGTTTTTGTGTTTTCTTATTAGATGGCACGGCCAACGAAGACAGAAGTCCTAGTGAGCATATTTGGGACTGACCTAACACTAGCTGCAGAGCTAGCGGGAGAACTGTGGGATGCTGGGGTGAAAGCAGAGTACTTGGTTCATAAAAGAAGACAGAAGCACTTCGAATATGCAAAAGAATCAAGGATTCCTTGGATGGTATTTGTTGGTGAACAGGAAATAAAAGAAGGCGTGGTGCAATTGAAAGATCTCGAGGCCAATAATGATATAAACGTTCCTAGAGCAGAATTTGTGGAGGAACTTCGGAGACGGTTACACCCTTAAGGCCCATTATATGCTGGAGCCAACTTAGTAGTTCAACATTCATTTTAAAATCAGAATTGAAGGAGTATAGGTTTTGATGACGTTTGGGGTTTGTTTCATGTCTATTCTATTTACGAAAGTTAATTGAGGAAATGGCATATTATTAAGTTATGAATCTTACAATCCTTACACTTACAGCGGCTCTTCACTTAAGATTTAAATTGATGGTCGCTTTTATCCCATGCCTTCATTACTTTTCAGCTTTTTCGTTATGGCTTAATTTGTAGTTTCTCATTCATTTACTCCGAAAATAATTAATTGTAGTTTCTCTTTTTTGTTTTCATTTCTTATTTAGGACTTGTTTATATAAAAAAAAAATTCTAAAACCAGAAGAAAATAATTTTAAAAAAACTCCTTAGTTAATTTGTAGAAATTTTTTTGATATTAACTTTTTCAAAATTTAGTTTTTATCTTGTGTACTATACGCAAGTTGATTTTTGTTTATAAAGAAGTAAATTTTCATATAGTTAATTTTGTGCTTAAGTGACATGCTTACGGCTTCAATTTTCAAAATTATGGATTAAATTAACAATTTTTAAGATTAATTTAGAAGTTTTCTCGCCTCTCACTTACGCACGTGAAAGTAATCAACGAGTCATGGCATAAAGTCAAATATTTATAACATACACTATTGTTGTTATTAATTTTAAATTTAATTTTTAATCATAAGATATACTATACTTTTATATTTTTAGAGAATATAATGTATACCTAAACCGACAAATTGTATATTATGCTAGTCAAAGTTAATGTTATCAAATATTGATTCTAAATTCATTAAACTTACTATTGTAAATGGGAGGAAACTATAGTTGTTTAAATGAGATTTTTTTAGTGTTTTCTTTACCGACACCGATAAAAGTGAACGGATTATGTAAAAACATATAAATTATTCAATATCCACATTTTACAAAAAAAAATATATTAATAAATTATATTTAAGATTTTTACATTATGTGTTCATAATTATACACTTCACTTTTTATTTAATTAATTAGGTGTTGCTGATAGGTATTGTAAAAATAGCGATGAAGAAATATTAAAAAAAATCCTTTTAAATAATTCTAATTATTTTAAATATAAATATTAAATAATTTTTACATTAATGTCGTAAATATCCCTTACAAAATTACCTTTTATCAATACAAAGTATTAATTAACTTTACAAATTTAGTAACGAGTTCCACCAAAATTTATATTTTTAATAAATTTACTTGAAAAAAAAGTAGTAAAAGAGTGGAGAAGGAAGTTTCATCATCATTCCCCTTACTATTTTTAATCTAAGGAAGTTGGCAAAGTAACATCTGCTTAATTAATTTAATGGGTTGGAAGTCAAAAACAGGTAGCCTCAATGCACTATTTTATTATTGGTACGTACGTGTAGGTGTAGGTGTAACGGAGCTTCTACTTTTGCTTTGAGTCAGTCACCATTAGGATCTCTCTCTCTCTCTCTCTCTACAATTCCAAAACCCTATCCCCTTCCATATTCCAATTCACCCTCAATAATGGCTACCCAAGCTTCCACTGTCGTCGGTCAGTGTTCTTCCTATTTCCTCTTTTGCTTCTCTTTTCTCCATTCAATTTACAATTTCTATTTGCACTCTCTTTGTTTCATATGCTTCGTAATCATCATACAAATACTCTGTTTGGACTTGTGATTTTCTGCACTATTGTTAAGATACCCGAAATTACCGTTATCATAAAGAAACAGAGAAATCTAAAATAAGAAGAAAAAAAAAGCTTTTATTTTGAAGAGTTTGCAATATGAGCTTTGAGTTTGCTTTGTTTCTATTTATTAGCAAATACCTATTTTTCGGTGTTTGGACATAAATTCTTTGCTGCTCAGTTAAGTTAGCGTGGAAACTTAGTCACCCTTCTCTAGCATATTCTCTTTCTATATTTAATTACAATTACATCTTGTTGCATTGTTGTTCTGTCCTTCAACTATGCTGCCGACTTTGTCATCATTATATTAGAATGAGCTCACAATTGTGTGCAAGGTTAGGGAATTATTTAAATACAAAGATTGAAAGAGTATAAGTAAAATTAGGAAAAAAATGTAAACCATTCTGTTATATTATTCTCTGTGATTTTTAAAATAAAATTCTCTCTCATTTTTTTTAAAGTATATTGTTATTGTATACCCACTTATTCTGGGGATGTGCTGCCAAAGATTGAGGAGGGATCATAGTTGTCTGCTAGGAAATGTCTTGCATGAGTTTGAAGTAGGGTGGATTGGACTGCCCTGGGAATCTGGTGTCTAAAAGTATTTCCTTAGTTGTTAATTGGTTGAAGTGCTTCCCTTTGGATTTGTGTTGTTGAAAAGGAGTAATTATATTAACTTCATCAGAATGAGTGGCATGTCGATGCTTTGGCTCTTTTCTACTCAGGTGAATTTTTGGTAGTTATATTTGTGGGTGCACCCCTTATTTTATCCTTATCTGGGGAATGGCTTCTGCTTTTGATTTTTGGGAGGACGTGTGTTTAGGGAATATCCAATTTCTTTGAATTCTTTCCTTTTCTTTCGTGACATTTGCACTCTGCATCATAGTTTCTCAATTTGCTATCATCCTTGTCTTACCACCCTCAAGATTTATGGACTGTAACTTAATGCTTGCAAATTTGTAGAGTGCAAATTTGCTATCTTTTCTAGAGTGCAAATTTGTAATTTGCATCTATCTTGTTAAAATTTTTGGTCTTTGTTTGCAGTTCCTAGGAATTTCAGATTATTGGAAGAGCTTGAGAGAGGTGAGAAGGGAATTGGAGATGGAACTGTTAGCTATGGAATGGATGATGCTGATGATATATACATGCAGTCGTGGACTGGGACTATTATTGGCCCCCCGGGTGTAAGCTGTTCTGTTCTTTGGAAAAATTCTGTTACATTTGATGCAATTAAAACTTCTTTTAAAAAATTGCAGAATTTATTATTTTTCTAGACATTTATGACTCACAGCTCTATTTATGCTTTTCTATTTTCGTTAAAAATATACTTCATCCTTTTTAACTCATGTTAGCAAACTTTGGTGTTTGTGTGTCTCATTTTGGAGTTGATTATATTTCTATCAGAATGGAGGCTGTGTGGGTATCAAGGGTTTGGTTTCCAAGAACATTGCTTTGGTAACTAAATGGCTATGGCCTTATGGGAAAAATGATATTTTCCTTTGGAGTTTTCTTTCTTACGGCACCATGTAATTCATAACTACCATGGTTTAAAATATATAGGTTATATTTCTAAGTAATTAAATCCATTTCCTCTTTCCAAGATTTTTTTTTTAACTCTACCACTAGTATTTTTTTTTAAATAAATTTTTTCCATACCAAGTATGTGTGTACCGCTTTCTAGTTTCTAAGTGGAACTAGTGTCTGCCAAAAGAATATATTAATTTGATGAATTTCCTTGTCCATCTTGTTATTTTACCAGACTGTTCATGAAGGGCGTATCTACCAACTGAAATTATTTTGTGGCAAGGATTATCCAGAGAATCCACCATCTGTTAGATTTCAGACTAGGATTAACATGACTTGTGTCAACCAAGAAACGGGAGTGGTAGGTAACTTTTTCACTAAGGATTCCTTGTATGGTTTGATTGAATTTTAACTTTCAAATATCTAAATTACCAGGTTGAGCCTCAATTGTTTCCTATGCTTGCTAATTGGCAAAGAGAGTGTACGATGGAAGACATTTTGATGCAATTGAAGAAAGAAATGATGTCTCCACATAATCGGAAGCTAGCCCAGCCTCCTGAAGGTGTGTAAATCTTATTTCTGATTGTTGTTATTTGTTAGTCTTTGTATAGTTTCATCTCTATTTTAGTAATTGACATGCTTGTGTAAAATTGGCCTTTTTCTATAACATGGATGGATCGTGTACAAAGTTAGTTGGATATTCCTATAGATAAGTTATTGGATGTGAAATTTCTGCATCTGTTGATTTAGTGATTGAATGCTAGTTGGATATTCCTATCGTCATGTTATCGGATGTTAATTTTCTGTATGCCTTGGTTAAGTGATTGAATTGAACATTAGTTGTTAGATATTATTAAGAGTGACGATCCTTTTGAGCTTTTAATGCTTTGGAATTGATGTCATTGAATTAAAAACATGAAGACGTGACAAATTACTTTTGAGCCATTCGGCATTTAACTTAGAATAGTTTGAGAGTATAATTTTCGGATGAATTGTTCTGAGCTAGTATCCTAATCTTATTAAGAGTTTTTGTTTGTAGGCACTTTGTTTTGTTTTGTTTACTAAATTTGATACTTGTTGTCATTTTACCAGTCCCATTTAATTTGCATCAAGTTTAGCAGGTCAACCATGTCAATAATGAGTGTTAGAAAACTTACGTTAACTTCATAAAAAAATTTAAATTCTTAATTTCTTATCGTTTAGCTGTCATGATATGACATGTTGAAACTCGTAGTCGGTTGTTTGAAGGTTTGCATTTCTCTTATGAATCTTAGTGTATGAAGAAGCTGAATCATGTGTATGATATGACTTTTTAGGCAATGAAGATGGTAGGATTGACCAAAAGGGGCTGGTGCTGAGATGTTGTATCGTCTAATTCAGGTGAGGATCAAAGAATAATAATGTAAATAATTATATTGAAAAATAGATAATCCCCTTTGTGGGTTAACACATTTACAAATGTAATTATGGACCATTTGCGTACGTAACCTGGACCAATTAAAGAGAGACTATCGTATCATTGAAAATTTACTGTGCATGGTGTTAAAGCTGATTTTACTGCGGACTCTAATTTGGAAGTGTGCATTCATATGTGTAATCGATCCTAATTTTGTGGGACAACAGTCAATTTTTCATTGAATTATTTCTCCAACTTCGTTTCCAAAATATCCTGGTGCTTTTGCCATATGAAAGGGGTGTAAACAAGTTAAACACTAGTAGATTCTTTAGACTTGTTGGTTGTGTGACTGCGATTTGTTTTATGGAAGCAACAAAATCCGACACGGAAGAATGTTGTTAGGGCTTCAATAAACTTTTCCATAAACACTTTGTGAGAAGATAATAAGAAATGAGAATGAAATAAACTTCCCTGAAAGTCAAAGTTAGCTTATGAGTTGGATAATTAGGAGAAATTTCATATTAGTTTCTCTAAAATATTATTTAATTCATGTTTAGGTTAATTTTAGTTTATGAAGAATTAATTTCACTTTTTTCTCTAGAGATGCTTATGAAA